CAGGATCCTCACTGCTTCTGCTGCCAGCCTGACTGAGCAAGCATCCCTGACTATTCTAGGTCAGGGGTGTTGCATTTTCTTCTTCAATAAACATATAGACTTGCTAATATATTTGTTTAGATTCAAGTTTACTGGAGCCCAGCTTAGCTTTGACCTTTGCAGATCTAGATTAGCTTTCATCTTACTGCAAGTCATAAAGCAACTGGGTATTTAGTTTACCTGCAGAAGGCAGTTAGGCAGCCCTAGAGGAACCTAATTAAAATGCAGCACATTTCCAAGGCACCATATCTTGCTGTGTTGCCATAGAAACAGTGGGAATTTCTGGTCATTGACCTTTAAGGGAGTCTGAGGATATTTTCCTAAGGTTCATAAGAGAAGCTACCCCAGTACAATATCTATAGTTGCAGGATGAACTTTGGAAAGCTCCTATGTAATCCAACCTGACTTTCGAAGTAATATATATTAGCAAAACTTACTAAAGGCTCAAACTCAGGCTTTAGGAAGGAGTTTTTTAAACTGCTTTCAATATACCATTTGTGCTATTGGATTTTTAAAACATCAAAGATACTATTGTAACAGCAAAAAAAATTAAAGGAAAATATTAGATAATTATACAGTAGATATCAGAACTGAAATCATATTTTGAAGTAGTTTGTGTTATATCTATTCTGCTGCTTTTGGATTCTTCAAATCCATGCTTACACAAAGAATAAAATATAGCTTTATTATATCCAAAAATATACCTAGAAAAATCAAAGCTTATTATAAAATGTTAAGGTGTTACTATTCTTTGGAAATACAAATCTTTAATTCATTATGCCTTTTCTGGTTTATTCACTTATAAATTCAGTCATTACATTCCTGTTAAGTGAAAATCTTAGCTATACTTTTATACACACACACACACCATTTGACAGAAGTTGAGTACCTGTCACTCAACAGAAAAAATGACAAAACCTGCCTTACTATAAACTGCTCTTATTATATTAAATATTTATCTTCTGGAAATAGGTTAGTCTGTGGTCAGGATATGCACATTTTAGTTATAAGGAAACATCAATCAGTGGTATCAGGGCCTGGCTAATTTCTCCTAGAATTAAAAATATATCTCCACATATATGAGGATCACTGATTCTGGACATAGATATCTGAAGAAAAATAGGAACACACTAATAATTACATGTAGAAAAGTGAGACTACTACCCACTTCCTAGACTTCTGGAAGATTCTCTTCTATAGCTGTGTGTGCTCGCTTTGAGAGACAATGTTGCGAGGGGGCTGAGAGCACAGAGTCTATCCCTGTGTTGATTGGGACTCCCGCTCTCCCACTTCCTTGCTATGTGACTTTGAGAAAGTTACCTGGCCTACGGGCACCTCAGTTTGCTTGTGTATGAAACGAAGCCTGTACAGGATAAGATAGGCAACAGGGTGACTGATATTATAATAACTATGTATGGTGCCAGGTGAGTACTGCAAATATAGGGGAACCACTTTGTAAAGCATATGAATATCTCACCACTATGCTGTAAACCTGAAGCTAATACAAAATAATATTGTAAACTATAATTTAAAAAATAAAATTTTAAAAAGTCAATGTTTAAAGTATACTGCAATTTATATCTTTACAACTGCTTAATCTTGGAAAACTTTTAGTTATCAATATGACAGCATGTGTGAGGTAGAAGAAGGTAGAGTGATATACATATTTCTGAAATTATTTTGGAGGTACTTGAGCAAATATTTTTGGCAACAGCCACTACAGGATCTGGAAGCTCATGTGGCAGAGTTGAACCTCCCTTCCCCAACTGCACTGGGCAGGCCAGCAGCCACTGGTCACTCATGGCTCTTGAGCACCTGAAATATGGTTACTTAGTCCAAATGAGACGTAAGTCCTGTAAGTGTAAAATAAGTACCGGTTTCAGACCTTAGTACCAAGAAATGTAAAAAAAAAATCTCACCAGTAATTTTTGTATTGATTACATGTAGAAAAAATATTTTGGATATGAATTAAATAAAATATGTTGTTAAATTTTGAAGTAAAATTAGGGTAATAGCACTTCTTAGGGTTATTTTGAGAATAAATGAGCTATTATTGATAAATCACATCAATATTTGACATGTAGTCAGTTTTTAAAACTCTCTCCATTTCCAGGGACAGAGCAAACAGGGAAATGCCATCCCTGTTACGTTCCTGCCCAAGATACAATGAACACAGTGGGGTGGACATGAACCAGGAAAACAGACAGCCATCAGCATGGTGGACAGAGAAGTCTATCAAGTTTGTAGTTAGAAAAATGATTTTTGATTCCTCAGTGTAGATGTAGACAATGCTATCTCAGAATTAATGGTGCTCCTTAAGGGGTGTGTGTGTGTGTGTTTAATCCAACAGTTACCTGCTGGATGAGCCAGAAGGAAACAACTTGCATCTCACATTGGTGGGGAGACATGAAAAAGATCCAGGTTGGAATGCCAAACCACATAATAGGTTCTTGTGCTGCCAACTGTGTGCCAAAGCCCCTTGACCTATTTTGCTAAAGCCCTTTGGGAGTCTTATGAGGCTGAATCATTCAGATTTGGAAACATGATGTCTGAAAAGCAAACCTAGGACTAGACTGACCCTCAGGCAACTTGTCAGGTGAATGTCTCAGCAGTGGATATGAGGCAGCCTTCCTGAAAAGGCTTGTACACCTTACACAGCTTTTTGCTTCAGTGACTGGCACAAAAGAAACAATGCTGGTGTATATCATCCCAGGTATTTTCTATGTGCATATTAGTACTAGAAGTCTTTTTGTACGAAGATATCTTAATTTTCCATGTTATTTTCCTAATTAGAAATGCTCATTAATGTACATAAATCAAACAAGAGACTTACCAGTTTTCTCCAGTTTGAGATTGCACAGGCTGCTTAACACAACTAGTAGTCTCTGTCCAATTGGGAAAAAAAAGGAAGTTTCTATGGTGGTCATTCTTACTTATGTATATAGTCATTATACACATTCCTCCTTCCTTCCTTGCCAATGCCTAGCCTGCATCAAATTACTTACAATTACATGTAATCTGTCTAGAACTTTTATAATATTCCTTCTTAAAATTATACTTTCTAACAGTGATTTTTTTTTATTCCTATCCCTCTACCTCCTCACCTTTGGCAACCATCAGCTTGTTCTTTATATCTATGGACTTGTTTCTGTATTATTTTATTGATTTTGTTTTCTTTAGATTGTATTGTACATATAAGTGAGATCATGCTATTTGTATTTTTCTATCTGGCATTTCACTTAGATGCACCTTGAAGGTATTATGCTATGTTGTCACAAATGACAATATTTCATTATTTTCATGGCTGAGTAATATTCCATTCTATATATGTACCATCTTTCCTTTATACATTATTCTATTAATGGACACTGATGTTGCTTCCATATCTTGGCTCTTACTAGTAATGCTGCAATGAACATAGGAGTGCATATATATTTTTGAGTTAGTGGTTTTATTTTTTTTAGATAAATGCCCAAAAGTGGGATTCCCGGATAATATGGCAGCTCAATTTTTTATTCTTTTGAGGAATCTGTATACTGTTTTCTATAGTGGATCCCCTAATTTACAATCCCACCAACAGTGCATGAGGCTTCCCTTTTCTCCACATTCTCACCAGCCTTGCTGTTTGTTGATTTATTGATGATGGCCATTCTGACCCGTGTGGAGTGATACCTTCTGGTGGTTTTAATTTGCATTTCCCTGATGACTAATGATGTTGAGCGTCTTTTCATAGGTCTGTTGGCCACCTGTATACTCTCTTGGAAGAGAAGTCTGTTCAGGTCCTCTTCCCATTTTGTAATTGGAGTGTTTGGTGTTTCTTTTTGTGTGTGTGTGTGTGTTGTTGTATGAGCTCTTTATACATTTTGCACCCTAACTTTTACCGAATATATTGTTCAAAAATATCTTCAGTCATTCAGTAGGTTGTCGTTTTGTTTTGTTGATGATTTCCTTTGCTATGCAAAATCTTTTCAGTTTGATGTAGTCCCATTTGTTATTTTTTTCATTTCCCTTGCTCAGGGAGATAAATCCAAGAAGATATTGTTAAAAGCAATGTCAAAGTTTACTGCCTATGTTTTCTTCTAGAAATTTCATGGTTTCCATCTAACATTTAAGTTTTTGATCCATTTTGAGCTTATTTTTGTATGTAGTATAAGAAAGTTGTCTGATTTTATTTTTTTGCACTTATCTGTTTAATTTTGCCAACACCACTTATTGAAGAGACTACCTTTACCCCCACTGCATATCCTCGCTTCTTTGTCACGGATTAATTGACCACAGAAGTGAGGATTTTATCTCTGGGCTCCCTGATTCTATTCCATTGATCTAACTACTTTTAAAAGTGACTGACATCTTTCTCCTGAATAGTTAAAATTTAAAAAATGAACAAATTTTTGGTTAATTTATGTATAGTTTTCACTCTTAAGTTTACTGTCAGCACCTATTAGGAGTTCATGGATCTTCCTACACAGAAAAAAACATTTTCTTAAGCTGGAATTCATAAATTTAGCAGAATTTAAAGGGGTCTATGAGATTTTTATAAATCTGGAGAATTACCATTTCTTAAGGTAGTTCCTGGAGATCTTTATTAAATAAAAAAAGGAAAGAAAATTTTGGGTTAACAAAGTTACATTCATTTCCTCAGAGCCTTTAATGAATATCTAAAGGGGATGTGGTAAAAATCCTATTTTACATTCACCCTTCCAAGGAGACCACTTCTGCAGTGTAGCCCCTTAAGGCACCAGTGTGCATGAGAACACACTTTAGGCAGCGCTGCTTCTGGTTCTCTCTAGAGTAAAAGGTTAGTGTTCTTTCTCAGGTGTTTAACAGTTCTAAAATTTCTCTTCTTTCAGATGGTGGTCAGCAACTTTATATTAAGTTAATTGTTGTTTATAAGCATGTTGTTTATAAACATGATTTTATTAAAGTGAGATGGGATAAAAATAAGATTTTTGTAATGAGATAACATTTTATTTTAATTTTCACCATTTATATACAAACACAAATTAATAAAACACATCACAAAAAAGTAAAATTTCATAGTCAATATGTATAGGTGCATAGTTTCATGCTCACATGTTTTTAAGTATTGTATATATGGACAGATTTCACAATACATCATTGTTATTAGACAGAATCATTGAAAGACACCTAAAAATCTTACAATCTTTTAATATATGATAGTAAGTCACAACTTCTCAACAAAAGCAACAAAAAAATAGTGAGGATTTAGGAATAAGTGGTAGTCACTTAGGTGTTTTTAATTTGCTTTAACGTTTTATACTTGAAGCCACAGTACTCACACAGCACACAAGGACCTGCTACCTCATATTCACTTCAGTGAGAGGGAAGCACCGGAATGCTCAGTGGGGTCAGGTGCAGGTACTTCGACCACTGCTGATGGAAGACTTCAAAATACACTGTAAAAACTTTGGGAAAATGACTGGGCATGTTGGAACTGAGCACTTGTACAGGATGGAACATCTGTCAGCAGACCTCGAGAAACTGGGAGTGAAGATCTTTCTTAGGCTTCAGGTTCATAGTCTTGATACCCTTCCTAATATTAGGGAAATCAGAAGGACAACATGCGAAGTTAGTGTGAGGGCTCCATAATCAAGAGCTTAGGGTGAGTGAGACAGGGTATGGCTTGCCACTTTGAATAAAGGTCATACTCATAACAGTTCTGGGACTATTCTGTTACATCCAACATAATTTTTGATAGTTTTGTCTGCCTGTCAAATATAAAAGTGAATTATGTTGGTGGTCAGGGTATCTGGATTCTACTTTTACATGTGCCATTTAATGATCATATGACCCAGTCTTGCAGCACAATTTAGTTGGCTTATCTGTCTATCAGTTTCCTAAACTGTAAAATGCGAGAATCAAATCAAGTCGCCTATAATGCCTCTTTCAAGCTAAGATGCTCTAATTATTACAAGGAAACTAAACATGTAAAGGCTAGTTATGTTTTCTCTCCTTTTATTCTCCCAATTCATGGCTTCAGTTATTTCTTCTAAAGAATTCTCCCCCACCCAGCCCAGCCATACAGCATATGGATAACACCCACAATAAAAATATTAGTGGCCTTAACAAAAGTGGTCAGATTAGTCCTTCTAAAGAATAACTAATGATATCAGGATCCTGTTCAAAATAAAATACTTACCTTCAATAACTCAAGCTGCTGTCTCAACAAAGTACAAATTTAAATCAAAAGGCTCTAGTAAGTATTCTACAATTTGTCTTTGACCCATCACTGCAGCTGTAATCTCACTACTCTTTCTGTTCCCTAAGCTTGACTCCTATTCAATTACTCACTCTTCCTCAGACATAGATTCTCAGACATGCATGCCTTCACTTCTGATGCACCCTGGTGCTAGAATGTCCTTTCTTCACTTTGGCCTATCAAATCTCCCAGCTCCTCCCACCCCACTCAACACCACCTGCTCTATAAAACTCCTCCCAATTGATCTAAACAGACCCATTAAACTGTTATACTTTTTTGTCTAATTTGTATACTTTTGCTTCTGTGATACCTAGTGCAGAGAAGACAGCTAATAACATGTGTTTAAAAAATCATGAGAAATAAATAAAGAAATGAATTTGTATTTGTTTTTAGCTGTACCCCTATGTCCCGGTACTATCAATTACTCTTATTTGCATTTTCTGCAGTGTTCAGCATTGTGCCATGCATAAAAAGACCCTCAAACATTGGTAAAATCTAACTAGGTAAAGAAACAACTGAATTTCAATTTTTATAAATGGGGTTACTAGCAACATGCCTTGTAATGATGCCATGAAGAATGACGTATAACCTAACTACAACACACTTTAACTCAATTTCTAGTAAAGCAGTAACACATTTTCTTTTTTTGTGACATTGGTTTTGGTATCACAGTAATATTATCCTTACAGAATTAGTTGGGGCATTCTCCCTTGCCTATTTTTTTGGAAGAGAATTTAATTAGTATTCATTGTAATTAATTGGTATTATTATAATTATTCATTAGATGTTTAGTAGAATTCACCAGTGAAGTCATCTGGTCCTGAAATTTTCTTTCTGGGTAGCTTTTAAATAATAATTCAGCCCCTTTTCCTTGTTGTATATCTTTTCAGATTTTCTGTTTTCTTTTGAGTCAGTTTCATTCATCTGAAAGTATTTTCTAATTTCCCTTCTGATGCACTTCCTACTAAAGAAATATTTTCAAATTAAAATAAAATTAATCAAATCATACTGTTTAAAATACTATATTGAATTATATCAGTTGTCACAAATCATTCATTTATCATCTTTCTACTTATGATTTTTTGGTTAACTTTTTTACTATGCAAACATCTCACTAGAAACGTATGACAAGTAGTAATTACTTTCTTTTGGCATTTAGTTGATTTCTCTAGTTTTCCATTTTGGAATTTATTGTAGAATGTAAGAGTTCTAATAAAATAATGCTTAAATGCAAGCTGGCAAACTTTTTCTGTAAAGGGCCAGTTAATGGGTATTTTAGGGTATAGGCCGCATATGGTTTCTGTTGCTGCTGCTTTTCCTTTTTTAACAACCCTTCACAAATGTAAAAACCATTTTTAGCTTGCAAGTTGTCCACATAAAACATATCTTGGAGTTGGCTAACTTGTTCGTCTACAGTGTAAGTCATTTTCACTAAGGAGAAATGTGCGGGAAATCTGAGAGGGACAGATTTTGGTACTGCTTATTATAAAGACCAAACTTAAACTCCCAAACTTTAATTTTGGAGTTTTATATATATAAACTTTACCTCAGAAGGCATTTCATAAGTCTCATTGTCAGGATCCCCGGGCATATCTTCCAGAATTCCTTCCTGTGGAGCTCCTTCTTCACCCTAAATTTAAGTGGAAGCATAAAACCAATATGACAAGGCACCATTTATCGGTTTTTAAAGTCACAAACATTTGGAAAACATCTTATGTACAATACCAGCATGGATGTCATAAAAATGGCACTCTTGAATATTACTTCTGGCATTCTAAACTATACAATGCTTTTGGAAAAACATTGAGGCAACATATTTATTTACTCTGCATATGAACAAGTTTTTTGCCCAAGCAATCCACTGTCCAGGAGATAGTTCAAAGCTATAGTCCAAAGATGGTTTTTATAGGATCTGTGGCAACAGTAAAAAGTTGTTAACTAAATGTTCAGTGGATGAAAGAGAGCTAGGAAAATCATCATTCACCAACTCAGTAGATAACGAAGACACGTATTAATGTGATATGAGAATTCCATAACAAAATGAGAACATATTTCTGATAAAATGTTTGTCAGGATAAAAAGTACTGTGTATATTGTGGACACAACCTGTGTGGAACTCAGATGCAAAGGTAAAACAATCGAAAGAAAATACAACAAAATATTAAAAGTACATTTTGTCGGGTAGTGTGTATTTTTTATTTTTTAAATCAATTTTTAAGTTATAATCACTTATGATGTAAAAGCATACATATTTTGTAATGTAGTTTAAATTATGGCATATAAATTTTTTCTGAAATTTCAAAGTTTAAACTATATATATTTGGAGGAAGAATATCAAATACATGGTCAGTTTTTCAGGTCTCTCCCCTTAGAAATAGGATACCACAAAATTCAATCTGAAACTATTGTGACTTTATTATTATTCATTAATCACCCTTTGTTGTTTTGCATTTATTCCAGCAAAGTAGTTATCATTTCAAATTGAAAGAGCAGAGAAACAGTGTGAGCTTAAATGGATTTACTCAGAGATCAAGTAGCCCCTCAATCAATGCAGCTATGTCCAAAAATATGCCTGACATAAATAATGTCTCCATATGTCTTCAGCATGAAGTGACAGGAAGGAGGATAAGAAACCAGCTATGGCTGACCTTAAGAAAAGGTCAAACTAATGCTGATGCCTGCATAGGCCAGGCAGAGAAGTTTACAGATCATCCTCCCCTGACCACCTTTTTTCATAAACCAAAAAATCTCAAGTTATATATAAAAATTTAATATAAACCATTCTCCAAATACCTTTTTCTAAATGCAGAGTAAAGGTGTTGTTTTCATAGTATTTCACCTCCAAGTAGTAGTCAAGAATACAGATTCTGATGCATTGTAGTTAGACAAAAGGGCTGTAGCAGCACAAATCTGAAGCTCAAATCCTAATGCCTCCATATTCCAGATGTTTTGTGATGTTAGACAAGTGACTTCAGTTTTCTCTAAGCACAAACAGCCTTAATAATAAATTGAGACAGCAATTTACCTGTCTTAATTGGGAGGAGCCAATAACATTATTTATTCTCTATTCGTATGTATATAACTTTTAGAAATAGTCAAGTATGTGAAGAATAGGTAAATTTCCTGTTCCCATGTATTTTTAAACTAACAAGTAGAGACTTATTTTTCTAACCTGCTAGAGAATTTTATGTAGACTGGACAAGTAAATATGGCAGAACTGACTTGTTTGCTGTTCAACTATCACAAATGAGGTCTACTGTAAAACTAAAACTGGTAAATGTTACTGAGTGTGTGTATTTTGGTGTGTCTGTGTACGTCCTTCAACATTCAGCCAAGTAACGTTGGGTGTTGCTTATGAATTCTTTGGCTCGATTGATCATTCATTGGAAGCAAATGAAATCCATCCATGTTAATTTTAAATACTGATTCAGTCAGGTAGTGAGAACATAACAAAAGCATGTGCATTTTTGAGCATGCATTTACCTAATCTTTTTAACATTACACTTGATCACTTATTTTAAACTATATACAGGGCATAAAATTGCACCCATATATGTAACCAGTTTATGTCCTTGAGAAATTATCTTATAAATCAAAAATATAAAAGAATTGTAAAACTGGCTTAATTATAGGGCCAGGATTTGAGAAACCACAGAGGTAATGCTAACACAATATTAAAAGAGAGATCAAATAAGTGATGAGAGAGAAGGTAAGCTACAAGAACAAAGACACATAAACAAATGGAAGAAAGAGGAAACAAAGATATAAGAATGAACAATCCAAGATAAATTCCAAGATATTCAATAACTGTCTATGTTTCACAAGAATAAGCACCTACTTTCAGAAATGTTTACTCAGTAAAGAATAAAATACATGTTGCTTTCACAGGTCTGACTCTGGAAAATAAGATTGCTGATTTCATTAAAATAAAAAGGCATTAATTTTTAATGACTATAATATTAACAATTGTGAAGATCTTAAATAACTGCATTATATTACATGAAGTGGAGAAAGCTTACAGATCTTTGAGGCAAACTAGCTTGGGCACATCTTCCCAGGGAAGCTTGGTCTTAGAGGGGTTTGGTGACTTACTCAGAGTGAAATTGGCAGAGGTGACTCAGAGACTGTGCTCTTAACCACTGCCATGAGAGTTTTGACATTCGAAATGTTTTCTTCAATTAAATTATCTATAGATTCCAGTAGTTGAGAAATAAAGACATTCTATTGTATCCTTGATTAGGCTTGGTCTATGCCTTTAAAACCCAGTTAAGAGTTTATTGCTGGTAAACAAAATTCTCATAATTTGATTGCTGAAACACACCAAAGAAATCTACTCACAAACAGTATGATTCTTGAAACATAAGTAGCCTCTGCTCTATGGTATCGTGTCCTCTAACCCCAGAGGCAGGTTCTGTTTCCCTGCCTCTGGTTAACAATCCTGAACCAGGGAAACTTTGCTTCCAGACTCTACAAAGAAAGTGACACAAGGAAGAGATAATCAGAATAAAACACCCTTTGGAGTCTACAGACCCTTCTATCTTACTGGCCTTCATGGCTGTCACAGACTCAAAAGGGAGATGCCAGGAAGCATTCATGATTCAAAATTTGTTCTTTGGCAAATCCCTATCCCCCAGCTAGCAGTAAGTGCAAAGAGGCTATGATCAGGACCCTTTCCTTAATTCTTGGAAATATTGCAGAATCTGCTGCTAAAGCAGTAGCTGCCCAAAAAACCCCTAGGGTCTCTCACAAAAGTTGTTTTTGATAATAGGATAGTCCTTGATTCTCTTTTAGCTGAAAGAATGAGGTGTATTTGCTCTGGGAAAGTTGAGACTCAGCTCTGTAAGATCACAGAACAAGCCCACTGGCTTAAGTGACACCTTCACTGGAGTCTTTCTCCGAAGTCTTTGATTCTGATTAGTTTGTGCCTTGGGGACCATAGCTCCAAAGTGCACTGCACACATTGGGGATGATCCAGTTTATAATAACCATAGTAATCTCCCTGATGCACTGTATTTTCTCAAAGGCTTCAAATGCATGTTTGCAGTTGCTAATCACCAAGCAAATGATCTTATTAAGAATAAGATGCGACACATAAGATGCGAAAAGAATGACCAGTTTAAGGAATGTAAACCTTAACCTGTGACCACTGAATACCACACAGGTTTTGAAAAACTACAAGCACTCCAAAGCTGTAATGGGGAGTGGTGCTAATGCCTTAAATCTTTGATCAGGTCTTCTTCCATCTAGGCTGAGAGTCTGATCAAAGGGGTGCCATGCCCCAAATGAACATGCTTATGCTAAGTCCCATGTCACCAAACAGACTTTAGCCCTCCAAGTAATTAAACCAGTCAATCAGGAATCACCAGATCAGCACTAATCTGCCTGAAGTCTATGCCATGACCTAAAGGAAAGTAACCTTTTAATAACCAACATGCTTTTTAACCTAAGTATAATTTCCTCGTTTCCAATCCCTTCTGCTTATAAAAGTCTCATTTCGTACAGCTGCTTGGAGATCCTTTCTGTCTGCTAGATGGGATGCTGCTCAAATGGATTTTTGCCCACATGAACTCTTAAACATGTCCCAGTTTGCCTTTTGAGAAACATAGATTAATAATTTGTGTAACAAAATTATTTTTGTTCAGTTGCATGACATATTTTTATTATATATTTAATGTCACTTACAATGGAGATAAAATTGCTTTCCCAAACCACCTTCATATCTAAAACCTACAATTGTCTGTTGTCCTTGTTAAAAATGCATCCTAGGGTCCTGTGAGTGTGTAATATGTTCCTTGGAAATCATTACCCAGTATCACTGTATGTTCTTAACTCTGTGGCATCATTTGGTATACAGACTATAGCAATTACCTGCTGTCAGTATGAAGTCTCTCATTTTGAAGTCTGTAAAAGACTGTTGGCAAATGGTCAGATTTTCTAAAGACTCTGAGACACACTCAATGGTGATATTTATAACAACAGAGCTTCAGTCACTACCAGGCATCTATGCCTCAAATATTCAGAGCAGCAGAAGCACTCTTCTCTCCACTTCTTTTACACTGCAAGATATTTTGTGTGGAACCATTATTTTCTGCATTGTGAAACAATGATAACCAACCCTGAATAACTCAACAGCTCAAACAATGGGGATAGGGGAGAGAGAGAGTAATTCTAAAAATAAATGTAGAAACTAAACAAAGAAATCTAACTAAAGAGGGAATAAAAAGCTTAGTTTAACACTCATCTTAAAGAATCCAGCATTTTTGATATGAAATCAAGCACAGAACTTCTGTTCAAGTGAAAATAGCACAGACTTTTCAAAAACATGCAAAACCCTTTTTAAGATGAAGAGTATATTATGGTTATGGATAGTGTATTTCACTAAGAGCAGTACCATTTACATTATTGAAAAACTAAAAAAATGGAGTAGGCAGGTATAAGAATCTTGTTTAAAAGGTTAAAATATATTCAGTTTGAGAGGAGCAAAGGGCATCTGATTCAAAAGTCAGACTGATTTTAATTTTTTAAAAAACAGCAGTTTTATAAAGAAAAGAAATTAATTATTTTAGATTTTATTTATTTATTTTTAGAGAAAGGGAGGGAGAAAGAAGGACAGAAACATCAAATGTGTGC